AGAGAGAGAGAGAGAGCGAGGGCGGCAGGGAGAGACAGCAAAGATGAATATAAATGAATGTTGTCGAAGCGGAGAACAAAAGCACGTGGACAGACGAGTGCCTTGCTGGAACCATGGAAGATGTGGGACTGTTTATTTTCTCTCTTAGTTAGCTACTATCATGATAATGGCACTTCCGATTGTCCATAGAAGCTCTTTTTTCTCTTTATGCATAACACAATGTTTATATTGGCAAGGATGCTCGTTCAAGTGAGGGTATACTTCACTTGAATGAACAGTTTTTTCATTCTATTGAAAGAAGCGACTCCGACAAAATCGCTTCGGACCTAGCAATTACTACCTCTCGCTATTGGTGTCGCCAAAGATCGCAGGTCCGGAATCGATAAATGCTCCACTTCGCGGATTCATAATGTTTCCCTGGGAGTCGCCGCGGCGGATCTGCCGGCAGGGCATTATCCACTGCCACACAGTTCAATGGCGCCTGCAAAGTGTCCGCCGCTCTTGGCATTCGACGGTGGAGTGGCAGCTTCACATGATTCGATCCGATCGTTAGATGACCGAATTACGCCGCGCCGCCCGCGTGCAGGAAAAACGTATGCTGGAAGGAAATGCTGAAGAGTTAGGTTCTTAGGAAGGTGGGAAACTCTCCCAATCTGGGGCCTTTCCGAACCGTCCGCGGCGAGACTGGTGCTGCTAGAACCTGTCACGTCTTGCCTACGACCAAGCTATCCGTATTATCTGCCAGAGATGGTTGAACTATAGTAACTGCCAGTAGCAGCGTTAGTGGTTCCGATAAATGTTCTATGTTCGTCCTTCATTGTTGCTGCTCCAGTTGTTGCTGCTTGCTGCTGTGGCGTTTCTGCTGCTGAAACCCTGCCCGCCGCGAGCTAGCCTGCCCACCTCTCAAAGTTGGGGGCTTTGTTGTGTTCTGGGTGGTGCGTCCGACCACAAAGTCACCAAAGATCCTGGTACCTGTGTGTACATGTACTGATTTGTTTGGAGTGGGTTGCACATGTGAAGCGTTCAGAGAGCTGAGCTCGAGGGTTGGCCTTGTTGGTCTGTCCCTAAACAGCCGCCCAGAACGGCTGGTGGAGAAATCGGGAAAGCAGGGGTTGGGCTGGGTTGGTTGGGGCAGTGTAAGCGTCTCATATTTTCAGCGTAAGTTCTGTATACGTATGGAGGGAGGGCTTCGAAGAGAAGTGATTTGCTGGCGAGCCGTGAAATGTACTTTGACGAGGAAGAAACACTCATGCGAAACCTGCAAGATTTGAGTGTCGCTTGGTCTGCAATTTCCTTTCGTGGGCAACCTGCGAAGGGTGCCATGTGAGACTTATCACATTACGAGCAAGGCAAATTTTTCGTTTTTGAAAGCAAACGAAGGCTCAGGATTCGCCTGAGAAAAGACCCTGAAGAATCAGCATTCCCTCGAAAGTTTCCCTTCCTCGTCCGTGTGTTTTTTCCAATGTCCGAAAATGCACAACAGCGGTTCACACCTTAGGGCGCAAGGACTAACAAACCTAACATTCACATTATATCTGATTGCACTTGTGGCATCTTTGCATTCGATACCCCCACACAGAAACCAGTACCGAGGTCATAACTCAGGATGGTTCTCGAAACAAATACTGAAAAGACCCGAATGCTCGGCCAAATCATCCGGAAATAATCCGATGATTTTTTAAACAATCCTGATGAATCAGGATTCACCAGGAAAACATACGGAATGTACCTGAGAATCAGGATGTTACCCTGATACCGAGGCCCTGATTACGAGTGTATCAACTGAGGACTAATTTTGCGAACCACACCGTAAGCGAGGACGATACATTGCACAAAGGTTCCTCTCTATCTTATGTTGTGGTGTGATTTGGTGGGAGGCTTTCTAGGCTGCACCCATTACACACCTCGAGCAATATGAACCACAAAACCGAATTTTGACAGAGAGACAACGTCAAACGGTCAACAGAGAGTTACAATCGATTAAAAGCCCAAAGTGCGAATCGATGAAAACTTAGCGAACTCAAGAATCCTTGAGAAGTCCCAGCACGTTGAGAGCCCTCTTCACGGAAGTTCACGCACTACCTTGGGCTGCTCAAACGAGCATCTTGTGTACCACTTTCTACCGCTTCAACGTCAAAAACAACGGGTTGCTGGAACCACCTCACTCAAACCACTCAGTGGGTGGCGACTCAATCAAGGCTGAATAAACCACGCGGCAAAGAAGTGTCCACAGGTTACCAGATCTGAAACGGGCAAGTGTTGTAAAGAAAGCTCCATACGGGCAAGGAAATGTTTTTAGGCATTTGGTTTTTAGACCTCCATAGGAATCTGCGAGGGTACGTAGAAACTCTACTAAGCCTTGTAGCTCCGGTTACGACCGACGGTGTTTTTGCGTTGTATAATGCATTTTCACCTACAAAAAAAAAATGCTGCCATCCCAGTCCTCCAGAGATACAGTTACGCTTTCTTGAGCATCACGTGTCATAGAGCCACGCTGACGACTGAAAATTCCCTACAGTTCTGTCCATTATACTGCACTGTCTATGCGCGGATGCGAATTGACATAGGCCAACACGATGCAGCCGCAGGTACAAATGGCGTTGTTTAGGCCGAACAAATTGGATTTGTTCAGCATTGGAGCATTGATGCTGCACCTGTGATTCGTCACAGAAGTCGCCTTGCGCAAATCGTAAATCATCCCTTAAAACACCTGTTGCTTAGACATCGATGTGTGCACTTCAAAAGAGAACTGATTTCGCCAGCTGTCGCCACAGGTATAAAGTGACAATATTGCGTCAACATGGTAGCATGTGTAACTTTGGTGCCCCCAATCTGCGGGTGGCATTGCCAGTGATCTCTGTTCATTCAAACCTGACTGCATTTTTCAGTCCTCTCCCGAGGTTGTGAGAGTGGAAAAACGCGCATGAATGGGAACGGTGTGGGGAGGGAAGGCGCGTTCAGCTGGTTCGAAATTTCTCAGGGCGCATCCATCTGGTCACGAGAAAAGTCGAGCTCAATGACTTCTGACGACTTCATTCTGTATTTAAAAAATGGCTTGGAGAATTCATCTTTGCGAAGCTACTGTATTGCTACAAAGTCCACATTTCTCTGAGGTCGTTGGTCCTCTTGTCATCGAACTGGACATTCGTGCCTCGCATCGCCCACCTTGTCTCCCACCCCTTCTCCTTGTCCTGCCTGACCACTGGCGAGAGGGCCGCCCTCCTTGACGGGATGACAACATCGCCCAAGTTCCTTCCGTTTCAAGCAGCCACGCATTTCTATGATGATGGTGCCCTGCAGCCACCCCATAATGTACTCCTTACACTCTCCTCATTACAATAGCTCGCTGAGACAGTAGCCTTCTCTACACGAGTTTCTATGCGCAAACTGCGGTTGCACAACACACAACCTCGATGTTATCATCCCCGATGCTTTTGACAGCACCTCAGGGTCTTTCTGGCTGGCTAAACTTCAGCCATTTCTGGTGAGCTTAAGCGTCCGTTAGCTCACTTCAGGGCACGTCCGTTAGGTCATTCTCACAAGCCCACGAGTATGGAAGGTGAGGAAACTCTATGTATTTTCCGTCGTATCCCAGACGATATTCTTTTGGAGATTCTTAGCAGCATACAAGACATCCGCTGTCTAGCGCACTGCGCTTCGGTCTGCAAGTTATGGGCACCGAAAAGCGCGCGAAGTCGAGACCGCAACGCTGATTTGCCCGGCAATTCAAGACCTATTGGGATAATGTCATGGATATTGTCGATAAGCTACAGGGATTTCCCCGTTTGAAGAAGGTTCGCGTGTGGCATCGGGACGAATGGGATGGGCGGGAGCGGTTCGGCGGGAAGACGTGACAATAGCGAGGCGTGGACCAAGTGCATGCGCTACGCCGAAATTGGCGCTTCGGTAGATAGTTCCTGTTTCTCGCCGCGAAATCCGGGAGCGCGGATGTTTTCTACAGTGAGCATCGGCGGGGGTGGCGGGGAGATGGTGGAAGGCGCGCTGCGCGGGGGAATGCCGGGAGGGCCGTGGAGGGGGGAAGCGGACAGCACCGTGCGGGGACTTCAAGACAAGGGGAAGCGTCGTTTCTGAATGGGTTTTGATGCGGTGGAAGGCGGCTGCGGGGAGGACATGCGCGGTGTGCACGGAATTGCCCGTTTGAACGCGGACGAGAGGAGGAAGGGGGGAGGGAGCGGGGGAAGGGGAGAGCGAGGAAATCGAGAGCGAAAGAGGGCAGCAGCAGCAGCAGCAGCATGAGGAGGAGGAGGAGGAGGGAGGAAGGGGGCAATTTGGATTTTCTTTTCCCCACACTTACATGGCACGTGATGCAGCATCAGCAGCAGCAGCATCAGCAGCATCAGTGGACCTAACTCTAAAGCAAGTCATGGGGCCGAGCGATGACTCGCTAAAGCGCATGATGCCTGTTATAATATTCGCCATTATAAGGGGCTTCGACGAGTTCCGGGACGTAATTCCCTGTCTATTGCTGAAGTTACCCCTGCTGCAGCAGCTGCTGCTGGTTGACGTCACTGACAACGTCACCATCCACATGCGCCCGCACCACATGGCGCAGCTTCGGCGGGCCAACCGCCGGACGTTCGGCGGGAGCCTAGGCTTGGAGAGCCTAGGCTCGGAAGGTTTAGGTCCGGAGAGTCTAGCAATGGAAAGTATGGTTCTGGGGGAAGGGAGCAGTGGGAATGCGGAAGGGTTAGTTGGTAGCGGGCGGGCGGAAGAGGGATCGCCAACGGACATGGTTTCGGAGATGGATGGTGGAATGGATGGTAGCATGGGTGGTAGCACGGGTGGTGGCATGATTGGTGGCATGGGTAGTGGCATGGGCATAGATGGTGCGGGAAGCAGCGGGATAGGCATGGGGGTAGGGGTGGGACGAGGCAGTACGCGCGCGTGCATGGGGCCATCGGATGCGTTTGGGGATGAGGAGTTTCGGCCAGAGCTGCTGGGAGCTGGCATGGATGCTGGCATGGATGCTGGCATGGGTATAGATGGTGCGGGGCAGCAGTCATGTGGGCATGGGGGCAGCATCAGAGGCGTTTGGAGATGAGGAGTTTCGCCCAGAGCTGCTGGGAGCTGGTGCTGCTGCCTACACCGCTTCACTCGCTGGCCCCCCGGCTGCTGCTGCCGCTGCTGCATACACCCCCTCGCTCAACCCCCTCGCTGCACCCTCAACCTCAGGCACTCCACTCCCCCCTGCCCGCTCATCACCAGCACCTGCCCCTGCCGCTGCCCCTCCTGCTGCCGTTGCTCCTGCTGATCCTGCCCCTGCTCCTCCTGCTGCCCCTGCTCCTGCACGCACAGGCACAGCAGATCAAACCCCCCGTGCTAGAAACCGCTGCTCCTGCTGAACTTTCCAGGCGGGACCTTTCTTGCCATCCTGACTCACCCAACTTCCACGTGTCGTTCTGGCGCACGGACAGAGTCCGGGTGGCTTATCCGCTGCCGCGTCAGCACCAGGAGCTGACTGACGTGTCAGTCTGTGTGGCCACGGCAGGACTCTGTTGCGCTGGATGACGCTGACGTGGCGGAGCTTGCCAGGTCAGCTGTCGGTGGGCCTGTGCTGGCTGCCACTGTGGCGTTTCTCAACAGCCAATCATCCATGCATGCACTGTAGCATCACGGTAGCTTGTTCTGTGGCATACACTATAGCAGCACATGTCGATTGCACTGTAGCGTAACTGATCAAACCACCCTCCCCCCCCTCACCCCCCACCCCCCCCCCCCCCGACCCCCACCACCACCTCCCCCTCCCCCTCCCCACCCCCTTCCCCCCCCTTCTCCGCAAATCGTGCTGTGTGCTGAGGGCATGTGTTGTGATTGTGTGCATGGCACAGTCACCACTGTCCATCCAATCAGCCATGCATGCATGCCATGTGAGTGGGTGTGTCATTGTGCACTGCAGGATGGGTTGGGAAGGGATGGGTAAGGGGATGAGGGGAGGGGAGGTTCTGTGTTGCAATGCTGTGTATTGTGCGGGCACCGCTGAGTCAATTCCTTGCACGAATCAACTGTCGGTTGCTACCCTGGTGCTTGATGTGCAGTTGTGCTGTTTTCTTGTACAAATGTCACCTTCCCAGCAGACAGCAGTATTGCCTCACTAGTTGTTAGACAAATTCTGTAAGTGTTACGGCAGTAGTTGCTTGTTGTTACGGGTGCAATGGATCTAAGTAGCGAGAATTGCACTAAGGTGCCAAACGAGTACAAAATGTGAGCGAAGGCATGAGCGAACATTTATATGCGAAACATGCAAACGGTAACGCGGTGCGTGCGAGCTAGCTAGTGCTGCTGGCAGCGAGGCTCGGGCTAGTCCCGAAGCGTAGGCCGACACGGCCGGGCCAGCTGTGCGAGGTTTGGTGAAAACAGTGCGCACAAAGTCGGCGAAGCCCCGTTAACAGTAACGGGCGAACAACGGCTGCTGCAATACGCGATGGTTGCAGGGCGCGCTAAGGAATATCGAGAAAATTCCCTACACTTCTGCAGAGGCATTAAGACCCAACTGGACCAACACAAAGCTGGAGCACAAGGATAGGATAGGAGAGGGTGGGTTACAGAGGGTTAGAATGGGACAGGACAGGAGGCTTCACAAAGATTACCAGCACCTTGATCTCAGCCATGCATATGCAGTGCTAGTGCTACACTCTCGCACCCTTGAAATCGAGCACATGTCCACCAGTCCATTCCCACTGTTTCTTCTAACACGGCAACAACACATAGGTAGTTGTAGAGGCAGCGAATCAAATCGACAGCGCTTGCTGCCTACACTTAACACTACATGCGCTGCTGTCAGGACTTGCTGCCACGAGCTCGCTTCCTCTGGCTCTTTGCCGACCGACGACCAGAGTTTTGGGTTGGCCGACCAGCATCTGGGGATTGCTGACCGGACTCTTCAAATTGCCGCCCAAAATCTTGCGGTTGCCGCCCAGAGGTGTTCGTGGTTGAAGCCCCCTTGTTGAATCTCGTGGTCTCCTCCATCTTGGTTGTTGTTTCTTCCATCATGGCACAGAACTCAGAGTAATCAATCTTGCCGTTCTGGACAGATCAAGGTAAGGGGAGAGAGAGAGAGAGAGAGAGAGAGAGAGAGAGAGAGAGAGAGAGAGAGAGAGAGAGAGAGAGAGAGAGAGAGAGAGAGAGAGAGAGAGTGCAAGAGTGTGTGTGCAAACAGAGGGGAAGGAAAAGAGCGTGCACGACTGCACAGATTCATGCGATGCGAAAAGCGAGAAAACGGGGAAGGAAATGGGTGTGATTTGACCGCTCCTGTCTCACTTGACCACTCACTGCCTCCTGTCTCACTTGACCACTCACTGCCTCCTGTCTCACTTGACCACTCACTGCCTCCTGTCTCAACTTATCACTCACAGCCTCCTGCATTACCTGATCAGCGTCCACGTCAGCAAATATTCTCTTTATCTCCGCCTCGCCAACCCCAGCACTCCCGGCTTCCTTCTCCAGTGCACCGCGCAACTCATCCCCTGTGATGAATCTGCCAATAACAAGGACGTCGGATTGGCTATGTGTACATGAGAAATACAGAATAGAGATGGCAACAAATTAAAAAAACGTTTACTTCCACTTTCCCAGTCCACTTGATAACCACATTCTTAGCCTACCAACTTGAATAAGGTTAACCTGAATTGGGGGTACTTTAGCAACTTACCCATTGCCATCGGTGTCAAAGTGGGCAAACGCCTGCTGCAGGTGAGCCTCTCTGGTCTCCCTGCTGACTCGCATGGTAGCTGCCACAAACTCGTTATAGTCAATGCTGCCACTGCTGTCCACGTCAGCCTGTTACAAGCACATGAGGAGGTGGTTACAATTGATCCATTACAAGCACACGAGGAGGTGGTTACAGTTTATCCGTTACAAGCGCAGAAAGAGGTGGCTACAACTGATCCGTTACAAGAACACACAGGTGCAGCATGATGGGGTTGCGTGCACAATAACTTCCAGCGGTAAAGAATTCAAAATGAAATAAATTGAAACAACGGGGAGAAAGACAGCTAAGCCTACCGCTGCCATCATTTGCCGAAGTTGCTCCTTAGGCACGGTATCACCGAGCCTCTCAACCCCATTCCGAAGCTCAGCCAACGAAATCGTCCCACTGCCATCCCCATCCAGGGCTTTAAACATCTCTCTCAACCCCATGGCCTCAGCGTCAGACACGTGCGAGGCGATGAGTTTAAGAGTGAGGCGCTTGAGTCGGTTCATGGCTGCAAAGCGCTTCAGCCGAGTGATGACTGCCGGCGCTAGCGGTGTGTCGGCCGCTATGCCTCCCTCCCTCACCCACGGATGCTCTGGTTGAAGGCAGGGCAGGGGGAGAGGAGAGCAATACAAGGGCAGAAAGATGGGATTTTTGAAACACTGCCACTCCTCTCTCCCTCACCCGTGGATGCTCTGATGCAAAAAAGGGGAAGGGGGAGGAGAATTATGGGTGACCTAAACATGGTGAGTTGTAAGGAACGAGAGGGGGTGGAAGGGGAAATGGGCGGGGAGGAGGGGGAGGAACGGCGTGGGTTGCTTCACTTTTTGTGGTTCAGGCTTTTGAGGGCGGAAATTTGCCTTTCCAAGACAGCTTCTGCTGCTGCCGGTCGTCCCGCAGGCTCTTTTTGCAAGCAGTGCATGACGTCGGCAGCAGCACCATACCTGCACAGCACACTCACTCACATCCTGTCACTCCTGTTGCTTCCCCGAAGTCCTTACCACACGCCCACTCCCATACCCATCCATTGCATTGCCCGATGCCCATACCACACGCCACACACACATGCCATGCCACACCCCCACACACGATTCACCAAACACTCACACACCACACTCACACTCACGCCACACACACCACACCACACGCGCACCCATGAGCTGTGCTGCTGTCGGTCGTCTCTCTGGTTGCTGCTGCAGCAGACTCAGCACCAGCTGCTTCGCCTCTGTTGAAACCTGCGGCCATGGCTCCTCTGATTGGTCCACGTGGCCCCACAGAATCTCCTCAAATATCCCTTCGTTTGTCTCTGCAGAGAGGGAACGGAGAGGGGACAGGATTGGGCGGGAGAAGGAAGCGGCGAGAGGGGAGGCGGGAAGGAGGGGGGAGGAGGGAGAGGGTGAGGGGAGGGAAGAGGGAAAAAGGAAGAAGGATGAATGCAGCGAGGGTTAAACAGACCATTCTTGAAGGATACAGGAAAGAGTTTGGGAAAAACATGGAGAGGGAGGAACAAACAAATGAGGGAGGGGTGGGTGGGCAGGGGGGGAACAGAGGGGAAAGGAGCAGGGAGGAGGAGGAAGGTGAGTGCATGAAGAACAGGATAAAGGGTGCATAAAGGGCGGCGAATGGCAAGATAAGCTGTCATTATCCCTCTTCACCCTCCGCCCCTCTCCTAACCCTGCCCCTCCCCTCCTTTTTTACCACCTCTCGTCCCCCCCCCCCCCCCCCCCCCCCTTTGTTACCACCTCTCTTCCCCTTCACTCACGTCAGCCCCAAACCAAAGGGCCACCAGTGGCTTTTTAAGCCTCAGAAACATCATCCCTGTTCCCTTCCAAGAAAGTTCAGTCTTGAAGCTCCTCGGGTCATGGTGGTTTCATTCAAATACCACCTGGAACTCCTTATAACGGGTACAAGAGATTACCTGCCCAGAAGGGCGGAGATCACGAGAGCAGGATGTAGAGCACGACCCCCACGCTCCACAGGTCCGCCTCCGGATGGTGTCGCTTCAAGACCCCATACAAAGCCTTATAACGGGTACAAGGCTTTACCTGCCCAGAAGGGCGGAGATCCCGAGAGCAGGATGTAGAGAACGACCCCCACGCTCCACAGGTCGGCCTCCGGGCCGTAGCTGCCTCGGATGACCTCTGGCGCCATGTAGAACGCGCTGCCCGCTACTGTGTGCAGCAGATGGCCTTGTAACGGGGATAGATGACGGATTGGTGTGGATGGGATGGGTGCGGTTGGGTGGGGTGGGGTAGTGTGTGGAAGATGGGCGGATTGGGCGAGGGAGGAGGGGAAGGGTGATGGGGGGGGAGAGGGACGGAGGGGGAGAAGAATGGAAGGTAGCGGGGGAGAAACTGTGATGTGCTGTGATGAGCGGCAACGCTTGCTTACCTGGCCTATAGAACGCGGACAGTCCAAAGTCGACGGCTTTAAGCGGCGCGCCCTCCTCTTCGCTCGATACAAGAAAGTTCTCGGGCTTTAAGTCCCTGTGAATCACGTAGTTGGCGTGGCAATACCTCACCACCGATACAATCACACGGACCACTTCCGCTGCTGCGCGCTCGCTATAGTGTCTTCTCGCTATAATATGATCGAATAACTCGCCGCCTGTACAGAGCTCCATGACTATATACACCGCAGAATCGTCCTCATAAGCACCTTTCAGATTAATCACATTCGGGTGATCCGATAAGAGGTGTAGAATGGCGATTTCTCTCTTGATGTCTTCCACGTCGTTGCTCGTTATAAGCTGTTTCTTCGATATAAGTTTACACGCGTATTGTAGACCGGTGCGTTTCTCCGTGCATATGTAAGTCACTCCGAACTGACCTCTTCCTAATTCCCGTCCGAAATTGAACAAATCGCGAACGTTTTCCGTCTCTCGGCCAAGTATGGAATCCGTCAACTTGCTGCCGGTGTCCCTAACGGTCGCTGGATCCTTACTAGCATGGACTGGCGAAACAAGAGATGTCCTACCATCGCGTCGGGTTGCCCGTTTCGCTAGCGACGGAAATCGTTTCAAGAGGCTCCCATGGACAGACCCAGTGCGTCCTGCACCAGCAACAGCTAAGAGAACGCAACCGTCGCGACGGCATTGTAACGAATGCGATAATGGCGAGAGATACTGTCTTGCCCCCGCTAGGGGAACCTCCACATGCAGAGCGAGGCGAAGAGACTCAAGCATAGATAGGAGAGGAACTACCGACGCGGCTTGCACCGATTGACGGCACTGGCTCAGTTCGCCTAAAATGCAGTTGCTGTTGACGGAGATAGGGACGGAGCTTCACGATAACGCAAACAGAACTTCAATTCACGATAGGGACAGAGCTTCCCTTTGACCATCGCGTGGTGGGGCGGGTGTGTGCATGTCAGTGCTCGTAGTGCATTCTCCGATTCACATTTTACGCCGGTTATTTGCAGCATGAATATACGATTCACCTTATAGACCAGGCGTGGTATGCAATTGTGTGGCTATTACCAATCCCTGCAACATTATTGTTATATCACAATCATACACTCGCACACAAAATACAAAGCCACTGAAAGGCACTGAATATTCTACTTTTCACACTAACCAGCTATGTGCTAACTGCTAAGCTGAACCTTCTACTTAGCCAAACTTCTTCTGCATAACATAAAACACACAAGCACTTAAAACACCTGCCAAAACTCACTGCACACACCATAGATACTTGAGCACGAGGCACACCAGAGGGCAACAAACACACACAAAAAAACAAACAAAACTTTCTACAAAGTTGAATTGTCGCAGATGATGCCACCTTGCTTCATCATCTCATCCCACCTGTCAACACTCACACACGCAGAGCGCAAGGGAGCTCCAGCGTCACTTGGAAGTACGGTGACACTTTCTGGGCTGCCGCGAGTGCTGCACTTCGCCATGCATCTTGGAGCTTTTTGTATCAACTCATGATGCAACCTCCGTCTCACACCTGTCACCACCACTCACGCACGTGGAGCACAGGGCAGCTCTAGTGACACCTGGAAGTAGCACTTATTGGGCTGCTGCAGGTAGTGCACATCGCCGTGCATCTGGGGAGGATCACGAGCACAATCAAGCTCGCGGAGCGCAACCAAGCTCGCGGAGCGCAATCAAGCTCGCGGAGCGCAAGGGAGCTCTAGAGAAACCTGGAAGTAGCACTTGTTGGGCTGCCGCAGGTAGTGCACATCGCCGTGCATCTGGCGCAGCAGCGAGCGGTACGAGACGAGCGCATGCGCCTGGTACGACGCCTCAGGTGAATCCTCAGGGCACGAGGCAAGGCCAAACATGTGCTGGATTATGGCGTCCTCAATCCCCGGCCCTGATTGGATAATCCTGCAGAGGCAAAGTCACCAGGGAAAAGGAAGGGGGTAGCGGAGGTGGAATAGAGAGGTGAGGCAGGGAGGATGCTGTTTTACACATAAGCTTGTGAGTTGCTGAATGCGCGATAACGAAAAGCAAAGGCAGATTGTGATTTGCGTTCCCCAGGGAAAGGAAAGGTGGAGGGGAAAAGGATGGGAAAGGTGGGAAGAAGGGAGGAAGGTGGGTGCAATCGTCGTCGGAGAAACGGTTCCCTCCTTCCCCACGCCATCCATTCCTCACCCCCCTCACCTCACCACTCCTCCTCACCCCTCTCCCCGCCCCATCACTCCCCCTCGCCCTTCCACTCACCGCAGCTCTATCTCCACGGCCAGCATGCGGCTGGGGCTGGGCGCTAGCTGCAGCACCAGACCCCGCATCTCTGAATCACACATCATCCATCTCCTCCTGCATCACCCACCCCTCCTCACCCTCGCCCCATCGCTTCCAACCACTCATCCCACACCCCTCACCGCACACCACCACTCACCGCAGCTCTATCTCCACTGCCAGCATGCGGCTGGGGCTGGGCGCCAGCTGCAAACGAACGGTGCCGCCCGACGGGGTGGACTTGACGGCCGCTACAGTGATGCCGCCCAGCACCTGCTGCAGCAGCAGCTGGTTGCCCACGAGGCGCGTGGAGGCGACATCTGGCAGCGCGTCATAGGTCAGGTCGATGGAGCGGCGAATGGCGTGCTGCATGGCTTGGCAGACGGCTGTGTTGATGAGTGATGCCATTGTGAAAGGCGCTGAGGGCGTGAATGGCAGCATGCTGGGAAAAGGGTGTAGGGGAGTAGAAGGGACAGGCAGGGTAGCAGGGGGAGTGGAGGGGACAGGGAGTGAAGGTGAATGGTGTGCTGCATGGCCTGGCAGAGTGCTCCGTTGATGAGAGAGGCCATGGTGAAGGGCGCAGCAGAGGGGGTGAATGGTAGCATGCTGGTTGGAGGGAGAGAAGGGGGGGCGTAGCAAAGACAGGTAGGGTAGGAAGAAGGGGGTTGAGAGAGGGTGGGGGGTTGCGAGAAGAGTTTTGAGCCGTGTCAAAACAAAACTGAGCAAACCTGCCTACCCACAACAACATCATTTCACTCCCACAGCATACCTGGGGTGTGAGAACACAGCATACCTGGGGTGTGAGAACACAGCATACCTGGGGTGTGAGAACACAGCATACCTGGGGTGTGAGAACACAGCCGCATCAGCCCCGCCTCTACGTAAAACGTGCAGACATACATCCATGCATTCCATTGCATGCATGCATGCGTGGATATATGCATACACAGCATACATACACACATCACCGCATACCTGGGGTGCGAGAACACAGCAGCATCAGCCCCACCACCGCCGCCCTCTCCGCCGCCCAGCGGATCCATCTGAGTGTGCAGCAGGCGCATCAGCTGCGCGTCGCACCTTGCCATCGCCTCCATAAACTGCCAAACCTTGCCGCCCGGGGCGGCGGCAGACGGGGCGGCGTGAGCGGAGGGCGAGAGCGGGGAGGCGTCGAGGAGGGAGCGGTGCAGCAGGGAGCGTGCATGCACCATGCCGTGCACTGCCCCTGCCATGGCCTGCCTCACGTAGGCGAGTTGCTTGGAATGCCGCTCGATTAACTGAGGGGTGGGTGGGTGAGAGGGGACGGTGGTGTGGGAGGGGGTGGTGGTGGTGGTGCGTGGAAGGAGCAAGGGAAGGAAATGTGGAATTTAAAGAGTGAGTCAAGAGGAATTCATAAAGGGAGCGGTGCAGCAGGGAGCGTGCATGCACCATGCCGTGCACTGCTCCTGCCATGGCCTGCCGCACATACGCCAGCTGCTTGGAGTGTCGCTCAATTAGCTGGTGAATGGTGTCCGGGGGGAAGGGGGATAAGGGGGATAAGGGGGGATGGGATGGATATGGTGGTGTGAAAATGGAGCAAGGGAAGGAAACGGGAAACCAGAAGGTCAGACGGGGGCGGGCTTGTAGTGCTGCAGCAGGGAGCGTGCATGCACCATGCCATGCACTGCCCCTGCCATGGCCTGCCTCGCGTAGGCCAGCTGCTTGGAGTGTCGCTCGATCAACTGAGGGTGGTGCAAGGTGGGAGAGGAGGAGGAGGTTGGTGATGTGGGGTGGAGGGGGGATGGTGGGGCGTGGGAGGAAAGGGATGGTGGTGCGTGGAATCATGGGAACAATGGAAATAGGAACAGAAGACAGGCAGAAGAGGAGCAGAGGCTCAGCGCCTGCCCACCACACGCATAAATGCAAAATACTAAATCCGAGTCGCCTACCAAACGCATAAATGCAAAAGACTAAATCCGAGTCGCCTACCAAACGCATAAATGCAAAATACTAAATCCGAGTCGCTTTTGAAATCTCTCAAAAGCGACTCAGCGCCTACCAAACGCATAAATGCAAATAATTCCCTCCACTCAGGCCCCACTCCCCCCCCCAACCCGCCAACTCGCCCCCCTCTCCCCCCACCCCTTCCTTCCGCTCAAGCCCTCTGCCGTTCTTCTTCCTCTCACACCCTCTGCCCTGTGCTGCACAGCCAGAGTCTGCATGGGTTTTGCCACATGCACACATGGACACATGCACACATGCACACATGGACACATGCACACATGGACACACACCACACCACCTCCTTCCTCACAGTCACCACCCCTCTTCACCCCCGCTTCCCCCGACCCCCATTCAAGTTCCCCTTCCCGCTGTTATTCCACTCACCCCATCTGCCTTTTGCTGCACGGCCAGCGCCTGCATGAGGTCAGGGCTTGCCACGTGCCCTGCATGAGGTCAGCACATGATATCATCTCCACTCATCCCCCTTTACTCAATCCAACCCCACCAATGGCCCTCCAGCATTCACAATCAACCCCCAACCCCCTCCAACTCCCTCCCTGTTGCTCCACTCACCCCCTCTGCCTTCTGCTGCACGGCCAGCGCCTGCATGAGCTCAGGGCTTGCCACGTGGAGGAATCCAAACGCCCCTGCTGCCCTCCCATCGCCGCCCAGCCGCTGCTGCACCGTCAGCAGCACCTCCACCATACGACCCTGGCACGGGGCGGGGTGGGAGAAAGAGAGCAGGGGAAGGGGTGGGAGGGAGAGAGCAGGGGAAGGGGTGGGAGGGAGAGAGCAGGGGAAGGGGTGGGAGGGAGAGAGCAGGGGAAAGCAGACCCACAGGGCCTCAAGCTGCAGCAGTCTCTAGCGCTGGCGGTTCAGACACGCCGCTTCCTGAGGGTCATGAACGAGGCAAGGCGGATGCGCCCCAACCCCCTCTCTGGCCATGCCCAGAGAATGCAGTCGGTGCTCGGCCCTGGTGCGGGAGATTGGCTGCTGGCACTACCCATCATACCCTCGCTTAGGATGGGACCCTCCCAGCTCTCCTCCGCTGCCGCGTTCCGCCTGGGCCTCCCCCTACCTGTCCCCAGGCGCTGCGACTGCCGCTACCGCACCAAATTCCCTGATGACCGCCTCCCAAACCATCTCATGCGCTGCGAGAAAGGGGGGGGAAGGATTGCGACTCACCATGCGCTCAGGGACGAGATTGCCTTGATTGCGGCAGAGGCGGGATTCACGGTGCACAAAGAAACCTATGTATTCTCTCTCGTTGAAAACCTGAAGGCGGACGTCGCAATCCGCCATCCCCGGACGGGAGAGGTTTGGATGTGCGACGTGACAGTGACGGACCCCGTTTCTCACCAAGATGAGAACTGCAATAGAGCACCGGGGTGGGCGGCTAGGGCAGCTGCGGACAAGAAGGAGCAGAAATACGCGCGCCGAAATGCGTGGGTGGGCTTCCATGCCCTAGCGGTAGAGACATATGGGTACCCCTCGCCCGGGGTGCTGGCATTCTTGCGGCAGTGCGCGGAGCTGGCGGCCAAGTTGCGATTCAACGCAGCCCCCAACTCCTACGAGGCCGCCAAGCTGCTGACGGAATACCGCCAGCGCTGGAGCGTGTGCCTCCAAAAAGCACAAGCCAACGCCCTCCGCTGCAAGACCAACGAGGCGATAGCAGCGGACGAGCTCGGCATGCGGGGCCCCTTTGCCCCCCTTAGCGAAGGCCAGCTCTACCAGCTAATAGAGCCCTCGTTCGACCTTTAGGGTCGGACGGAGGGGGCGGGAGGGAGTAAGGGAATGAGGTAGTTAGGTAGACCAAGTGTTATGTCTAGGTTTGCATGTGTTTGCATCTTCCCATGTATCTCCCATCAATCAATACCAGGGCCATTCGAGAGCAGGGGAAGGGGTGGGAGGGGGCGAAGGAGGATAGCGAGTTGAAGAGAAGGGCACTGAAGCGAAACAGCTGTTGCACTGCCATTACCACCTCCACCAGACGACCCTGGCAGGGGGAGTGCACTGGGGGGAGTGGAGAAGGAAGACAAGAGGGGTGAAGGAACAAGCACACTCGACAAAACCACTGCCGCGCTGGGAATTAGACATCATGAAGTTGCACCCTCCCTACCTTGCCGTTGCAGGGTGGGTGGGTGGGTGGGTGCGTCTTCTCCTCGCCACCAGTGTCCTGCCCCGCCATGGTGACGAGTGGGTGGGTGAGGAAACTTGGCTTTTCCACCCACCTCCCTACCCCTCCTCCCTACCCCACCTCCCTACCCCTCCTCCCTACCCCACCTCCCTACCCCTCCTCCCTACCCCTCCTCCCTACCCCTCCTCCCTACCCCACCTCCCTACCCCTCCTCCCTACCCCTCCTCCCTACCCCACCTCCCTACCCCACCTCCCTTCCCCTCCTCCTCACCTTGGCATTGTGGAAGGCAAAGTGCGTCTTCTCCTCGCCACCAGCGTCCTGCCCTGCCATGGCCCGCGACAGCATGATGAGCAGCCGCGTGAGCGAATCATCGTTCGCCAGCTGGCACATGCGGCCAAAGATGATTCCTGGGAGCATGCAGCCCAGCACCTGAGGGGATGGATGGGGGAGGGCGGGTAGAGGGTGGATGAGAGACGGGGGATGGGAAAGGGTGAGTGGGAGAGGGGGGATGGGAAAGGGTGAGTGGAAGAGGGGGGATGGGGAAGGGTGAGTGGGAGAGGGGGGATGGGGAAGGGGAGAACGGCCATGCGACCAAATCGATCCCTGGGAGCATGCAGTCTAACACCTGAGCGGTTTTGGAGGGTGGATGGGAGAGGGTGGGTGGGAGAGGGTGGGTGGGAGAGGGTGGGTGGGAGAGGGAGGGCGGGTGGGAGAGGGTGGGTGGGAGAGGGTGGGTGGGAGAGGGTGGGTGGGAGAGGGTGGGTGAAAGGGGAAGATGATGGATGGGGAGAAGTGGGGATGCGAAGCGGGGGAAGGGAGATCGGCACATGCAGTCAAATTCAATTCCTGGGAGCACGCAGCCCAACACCTGTGCGGATGGAGGGGAGGGAGTGGTGGGAGAATTTAGGTGGGAGGCGAGAGAGTGGAGGAGGGAGGGTAGAGGGTGGGTGAGGAGAGGGTGGGAAGGGAGAGGGTGGATGGGAGAGGGTGGATGGGATGGGAGGGAACAGAAGAGCGGGCAGGAGTAAGGAAGGGAAAGGAAGGAAGGGAAGTAAAGGAAAAAGGGAGGACAGACAGGGAGGGGGGGAATGAAAGCAAGAGGACGGAGAGGGACGCGTAGAAAAAGGATGAGAAAGGACACTAAGGAAAGGATGAGAAAGGACACTAAGGAAAGGATGAGAAAGGACACTAAGGAAAGGACACTAAGGAAAGGACAGGGACGAGAAAGAGAGTCATGGGGCGGGTGTGATAAGTCGAGTTTTGAGTGGACTGGGAAGTCGACTTATCACACAAAGAGAATTATGGGGCAGGTGGGGGACAATTTGGGCACGGAGGCGTGGACGGGGAGAGGACAAGAGCACACCTGGGAGCGCTTGAGGCCCGTGATGCTCTCCATGGCTGGGTTCCACTCGGTGCAGAAGCCAGATGCTGGGGTTGGGATGGGTTCAGAAGGGCATGGGCAGTAGAGCGGAACGTGAGCGGGTGGGCAGAATTGAGCTTGGGGATAGATGGCAGCAGAAGCGTGAGCAAATTACGGCCGGCACGGCTCACCACAGGCGGCAGAGCTGGGTGGCAAAAAAGACTCATTGGCGGTGGCAACGATGGGCGTCACTGCGTAAGAAATGGGCGGCGAAACGACTCACCGTTGGTGGCAAAGATGGGCGGCATGAGGGAGTTGTGTGTGTTGATGATGGTGGTGAAGTCGCCCTGTATGCGCACGAATCGCGTCCTGGCAGCTGTCTCCTCCGTCACGTCCTGCCCCACGAAGCACACCCCCACGATGCTCTTCTCCGAGTCGCGGCTCACAAACGTGTTCACCTGCAGAGGAATAGAGGGAGTATGATGGGATCCAGTGGGGTAGGGTGGGGTGGGGTGGGGTGGGGTTGCGTGGGTTGGAGTGCGGTAGAATGGGGTGCCGTGGGCTGGCGGTTTGAAGAGGCATTACATCCTGCACGATGGATGGCGTGGGGAGTGAAATTTATAGACTGGATACATATTACAGAGCCGCATGAATCGGAACAATTAAATGACGACTTAAAAAAAAAACAAAAAAACACGACTAAGTGCAGTGCACTCACGTGCAGGGCGGCGTAGGGCATAGGAGGCCCCTTGCCCCTTGCCCCTTGCCCCTTGCCCCTTGCCCCTTGCCCTTGGCCGTTACCCGTTGCCCCTTGCCCTTGGCCCTTGGGAACAGTTGCTGCCACTGAACGACATGCCACTCCATTGGACTCACGTGCAGGATGGCGTAGGGCGTGGGAGGCCCCTTGCCCTGGGGAACTGACCCCCACCGCTTGAGCTTCAGCTCCAGCTGCTGCTGCTCCTCGCCTGCACATGCATGTGCATGTGCATGTGAAAGTGAGAGTGGATATTGATGGGTGATATACTTAGCAGGTTTGTCGTCCATCTGGAATTCTTCCTCATTAAATTAGACTCTCTCGCCCGAAATCAACAAGTTCACCATTTGCACGAGCACCAAAGACGATAAGGGAAGGGAGGAGGGCAGGGGAAGGGGTGGGGAACGTGTTTTGAGTCGACTCAAACCACGGGCAGGGGAAGGGGTGGGAGTGGGTCAGAGCATGCAGGAGGGTCAATGGACAAGAAAAGGATTTTGGGTTAGAAGGGAAGGTTGGGGGTGGGGGGCAAGGACGGGGGAAAGAGAGGGTGGGGAAGAAGGGGGGGGGAGGATAACCAGCTAATCACTCATCTTCTTTGAGAATTCTTACATATTCGCTGCTCTCACCTGCCAGAGCGAGTTCAAACGCGGTCCTCGTCTTGTCCACACAGGACGGGTCGAGACAGGTGTCGAGCAGCGATTGGCCGATGGCGTCGGAGAAGGAGAGCCCTGTGATGGCCGCCACCTTGCCGTTCCACCCCGTGATGTTGCCCTCCAGATCAACGGCCAGGATCGGCGCAGACGCCGTCTCGATCAGACGGACCAGCTCGTCCGCTGCCACTGCCAGCTCGCTGTTGTTCTGCGGAGGGAAAATGGTAAACGGGGGTTGGAAAGGGTGGAGAGGGGTGGAAAGAGGTGGAATGGGGTGGGATGGCGTGAAGGGGGGTGAAACCAACCACCTCCAGGAACGCCTTGAACTACACGCCAGGGTTGCTGCTTCTGCTGCTGCCTCTACTCTACTCGAGCTGCCCTCTACCAGTTTCTACTGGTCTCCAAAGGCCTTCTGAAGCGGTTACAGAACTGGGACAGTCCCCGCTGCCTGCTCACCTGTTTGCCCATGGAGATGAGCCGTCCCATGCTCTCCTTCCGTCTGACCAACTTGCACAGCAAATCCTGCAGGCTGTGAACGGCGTCCACCTCCACGTCGGCCCACGGCAGCGCGCGGTGCCGCACCAGGGAGTTTTTGAGAATTCTCAAAAAACCCCTTTCACGTCGGGCCACGGCAGCGCGCGGTGCCGCACCAGGGAGTTTTTGAGAATTCTCAAAAACTCCCTTTCACGTCGGGCCACGGCAGCGCACGGTGCCGCGCCACCTCCAGGAACGCCTTGAAGGACGCCCGCGGGTGCTGTTGCCTCTGCCGCCCATACTGGTTTCTACCAGCGCCTTTTCAGGCGGCTCATGGCTCAACCAGCAGCACTCTCTTGTGTGTCTCACCTGTTTGCCCATGGAGATGAGTCGCCCCATGCTCTCCTTGCGCCGCACCGACTTGCACAGCAGGTCCTGCAGGCTGTGAACAGCATCCACCTCCACATCGGCCCACGGCAGCGCGCGGTGCTTCACCACCTCCAGGAACGCCTTGAAGGACGCGCGGGGGTGGCGCTTCTTTGCATCGTCCACATCCAGGGGGTTGTGCCGCGCGCCGCTCCACTTGATCGACTTCTCCACGTGCGACCGGAACCAGAACAGGTAATCCCCCGTGATGCCGCTCACACTGCTCACACCACCGCCGCCGCCGCTCAAGCCGCTGAAGCTGCTCCCGCCGCCAGCGCCGCTGGTGCTGCTGCCGGATGGTGAAGGCGGGACAGGCGACGCAGCCTCCCTCCCCTGCTGCTGCTGCCGCTCCTGCTGCTGCTGCTGCTGCTGCTCGTCGGCAGGAGAGAAGCACACGACAACCATCCCACACACGTCCACTCCAAGCGTATCCGCGTACGGGAACCCAGCACCCTTGAGGCTATCCGTGCTCAGCCCACTGGACCCGCAGTGTTCCCTCTGCAGCCACCGCACAAGCTCCCCGATCATGTCTTCTGAAGGGCAGACGCCGAGGCGGGAGAGCTCCCCGCGGAAGAGCACGGCGGCGCCGTCGCAGGGGAGGAGGTCCATGATGTTGGGCGCGGAGGACACGAGCGCTCGGATGGGGTTGTCCGTGAGCAGCGTGTCGCACAATAAAGATTGGATTTGGAGAATCTGCTTCTCGTGCAGCTGGGCAGCGATCTCGAGCTCCACTGAGAGCTGCAGGCCGAACGCCTGGGAGGAAGTGGGGGCAGGGTGGAAAGGGGAAGGGGTTTTGGGAGGGAAGATGGAAAGGAGGAGACGGTTGAGGGACCTTGCCTTGGAAGGCATCTCCTCCAGCAACGCAGGGGAGGAGGTCCATGATGTTGGGCGCGGAGGACATGAGCGCACGGACGGGATTGTCCGTGAGTAGGGTGTTGCACAATAAAGATTGAATTTGGAGAATCTGTTTCTCGTGGAGCTGGGCAGCGATCTCCAACTCCACTGACAGCTGGAGGCCAAATGTTGGGGGAAAGGGGGAGAGGAGGGAGGAATTAATAGGAGAGAGTTGAGAGAGGGGGAGGTAGGGATGATGGGGAACATTTGAGGCGCCTTGGAAGTCATACCCCCTCTGCCCGTCGCAGGGGAGGAGGTCCATGATGTTGGGGGCGGAGGACACGAGCGCTCGGATGGGGTTGTCCGTGAGCAGCGTGTCGCACAGGAGGGACTGGATCTGGAGAATCCGTTTCTCGTGGAGTTGGGTGGCTATCTCGAGCTCCCCTGAGAGTTGCAGGCCGAACGCCTGGAAGGAGAGGCGAGAGCAGGGGGAGGGAGTGGAGGAAGAGGGAGAAAAAAGGGGCTATTGAGGCCCCTTGGGAAGTCTTGTCCTTGGTCGCAGGGGAGGAGGTCCCCTTGATGTTGGGAAAGGAGGAGACGAGCGAGCGCGCGGACAGGGTTGTCGGTGAGGAGAGTATCACAGAGGAGAAACTGGATTTGAAGGATCTGCTTCTCGTGCAGCTGGGCGGCTATCTTGAGCTCCACTGACAGCTGGAGCCCGAATGCCTGGAAAGGGGAGGTGGGAAGGGTTTGGGAGGGGGAAATGGATGGGGAGGGGCGATTGAAGCTCCTTAGAAGTCATCATGGGGGACAGGGTGAGAGGACAACACAACATACTCATCATCCTACAACCTCACCCTCCCACCCTGCCCTCCCCCTGCCCTCCCCCTGCCCTCCCACCCTGCCCTCCCCCTGCCCTCCCACCCTGCCCTCCCCCTGCCCTCCCCCTGCCCTCCCCCTCACCTGCATGAGGAAATCACAAGCGGAGCGGACGGGGAAGGGCACGACTCGGGGAGACATGTGATGGCACACCACCAGACCCCACAGCCGCACGCCCCCTCCCCCCCCCCCCTCCCCCTCCGCTTCCCCCTCCCCCTGACACGCTCCCCCCATCGTCTGACCGCATGTCCCACCCATCTCCCCCTCCCCCTCCTCCCCCTCCCCCTCCCCCTCCCCCTCCCCCCGCGTCCCCCCCAGCACCACCCCCCAAGCCCGTTCCAGAAGAAGCACTGGTGCTCCGGGCAAGAACAACACCCTGCTTCCCCTGCTGCTGCTGATCCAACCTTCCCGTCCCTCCCCCCCCTTCCCCTCCCCCTCCGCCCTGCTGGCTCCCCCCCGACTGACTCCTTGCAAACTGCGCCCCGCCAGCCGCCCCCCCCCCATGCCCGCCCCCGCCCCCTCCTCCCCCCGGCTGCCCCAGCGCGTTCGCCCCGCGCGTGGGCACCATAATAGCAAGCACATAAGATGCTCTGATCCCCATATTGCACATATACTGCACGTGGCACGGGTCCACCGCTCTCAGAGTCGACCCCCCGAGCTTGAGCGGGTGCGGGGCGGAGAGGGGGTGCTGGCGGAGGGGTATAGAGGGGGACTGGCAGTCGGCAACCATGCGCGAACGCGTCTGGAAGAAGAGCAGACGCGTGGCCTGTGGTACGTCCGTTGCTGGGAAGTGAGAGCCTAGGATCGCCTCCATGCCTCCCTCCTCTTCTTCCCCCTCCTCTTCTTCCCCGTCCGCCCCCTTCCCTTGCTCCCCTTCCTCCCCCTGCTGCTCCCTCTCTTTCCCCGCCTCGCTCCCCTCCCTCCCTTCTTCCGCCCCTCCCTTCTTCCCCACTCCCGCTCCCCCTCCCCCTCCCCCTCCCCCTCCCCCCTCCCCCTCCCCCTCCCCCTCCCCCTCCCCCTCCCCCTCCCCCTCCCCCTCCCCCTCCCCCTCCCTTCCGCCGCCTTTTCCGCATGTCCTCCGCCACAACCTCCCCATGGCCGTCCTCATGGAACTTATAAGCCACAACGCGGTCATACCCAGTCAACTCTCTCACCTCCTCCACCACCACCTGGCACAGCGCGCTGATATTCCCTGGCGCCACCTTCTGCAGCCGCTTCACTGCCGAGAGGGCCAGCCGGTGGGTGAGCGGCGCGCCTGCCCCGTCTACTGCCGGGTCGAGCGGTGTAATGGGCTCTAGGTCTATGCTTATGATGTTGTTTCCTGGGTTGGTGCTGGTGGTAGCAGCGGTGAGGTTAGGGGCAGTGGTGGTGGTAGCAGCAGTGGGTATGGTGGTTGGAAGAGTGGCGACAGGAGAGGTAGGGGTGGCGGTACCAGGGAGTGTGAGGATGCTGCTGCTGGTAAGGCTGGTAGGGATGATGCTGCTCATGCTGCTGGTGCTGGTGCCACTGGTGCTGGAGTTGGCGGTGTCAGAATCGTCAGCAGCAGCGGAGGTGCGGTGGAGAACAGCGTAGAAGGGGCGGTTGGAGTGGCGGCACTGCAGCAGCACAGGGTTCATGGACGCGATGTCGTCTGCTGCCACTGCTTTTTCAAGGGCCTCCACGCTTTCTGGGGTGAACAGGCTCCGGACGTCCATTCCCAAGGCTGCAGGGGAGGCAGGAGGGGAGGGGATTGGGGAGCGAGCAGGGGCCGGGGCAAGGGGATGGGGTAAAAGGGGCGGTAAGAAAGGCGGCACTCCAGCAGCACAGGGTTCATGGACGCGATGTCGTCTGCTGCCACTGCTTTTTCAAGGGCCTCCACGCTTTCTGGGGTGAACAGGCTCCGGACATCCATCCATCCCCAAGGCTGTGTGGGGGGGAGAAGAGAAGGATGATGGGGGGACGGGGAGGATGGGGAGGATGCGGAGGATGGGGAAGGGGGAAGGGAGCAGGGATAGAGGACGCGGTTGGAGCGGAGGCACTGCAGCAGCACAGGGTGCATGGACGCTATATGCCTTGCCATGCCATGTGCTGCTGCCACTGCTTTCGGACAAGCCTCTATGTGCTTTTCCTAAGAAAACCAGCTCTCCGCATGTCCATTCCTTCCCAAGGCCGTGAGGCAGAAAGTGCGGGAAGGAAGATGGGAATGGGGCGAGGGAGTGGAGGGTGGGGAGAGCACCACTCCTGACACCAGTCAACCGTTGCACTCACCTATTTTCGTCTGTGGAAGCGGAGCAACAGCATTCTCCGCCTCTTCCGCCAGAGCACCAGCGCGCGCCCCTTCCCCCTGCGCCCTAGCTGCCGCCTCCTCCAGTCCGCGCCCCACAAAAATGGCGCTGTCACTCACACTTGCTCCGCCTCCGGCTCCTCCTCCGCCTGCGCCCCCGTCTCTCTCCGCGCCCATTCCGCTCGCTCCTCCCTCCTCCCCCGCGCGCGCGTCACTGCTTCCCCTCCCCGCCGCGCCAGCAGCAGCAGGCGCGGAGGACACGGCGGCGGCGGCATCCGCGGAGTGGCGGCGGGATCTCCTTGCGCCCTTGGCGCGGCCGCGGCTGTTGGAGCGGAAGATCGCCCAGCGAATGCGCTCCAGAAAGTTCAGCGCTGGAAGGATTTAGGGAGCGGTTTGAAACGGTGGAGAGGGTAGGGAAGGTGAATTGGAGGCGGGAAGGAAAGAGGGGAAGAGGAATGGGGGGAAGGGGGAAGGGGCACAGTGATGGATGGGAGAGGCGGGGGGCGGGGTGGCAGGGGGAAACAGGGCGGAGAAGAGGGAGGTGGAGGAGGGATGACGGACGTGCGGCAGAGAGATAACGTAATGCCGGACGTGGGTTGACAGCGGTGATGGCGGAAACAATGGAACGGTGAGCAGAGCTGATTCATCGCAACGCCGCTGTCCTCAGAAGGAGGGGATGAGGGGGAATGCACGGGGAACGGGATGATGAGAGGGGGTTGAGGGGAGGGGTGGCAGGAGGATGGGGGAGGGGAAGGGGGAAGGGACAAGAGCGAGGTAAAGGGGTGAAGAAAGGGGGGGGGTGGGGGGGGGGGGGGGGGGGGGGGGGGGGGGGGGGGGAGAGGGGGAAAGAGGGGGGGAGAGAGGGAAAGAGGGGGGGAGAGAGGAAACGAGGGGGCAATTACGTTTGAGAAGTGTGCTCCCTTCGGATGCCATTTTCACCAGTCGTCTTCTCTCGCCGCCGCCCGCCGCCGCTCCGCCCGCCGCAGCTCCCGCCTCGCCTCTCCGGTTTGCTTCCGCCGTCGGCGCCAACTCCCCCCCTTCTGGAATCGTTTGCGACCGTCCGATCGTCGCCGCCGCCGCAGATCCCGCTCCGCCCATTCCCGCAGCTCCTGCATCCGCGGATCCCGCGCCCGCGCCGGCCGCCGCTGGCGGCGCCGCCGCCTGCATCGACGGCGACTCATTCAGGATCATCTGGCCGGCGTTTTCGCTGAAAGCGACGAGATCGAAGCTTTTTCCGTCGCCGGGAATCGCGAGCAGGCAGCCGAAGTTCTGCACGAGGCCGGGCCGTTGGATGCGCTGTAGGTACGTCGAGACCGCGGCGCGACTCGCGGAGGGCGGCGCGCCGCCCGCGGCGTGCACGAGGTCGACGGAGCGCCGCGCGCTGCGGAACGTGACGCCGCCAGTGGAGGCCCAGAGGCGCGCAGCGGCCAGAAACGACGTGTCCATGTCCGTCGCCGATTTTTTAGGCGCGTCGAAAATGTCGGCCGCCGCCATTTCTGCGACGACGGTGCTGTGCGCAACGAGTGGCTTGAGTGGTCAGAAAGCTAAAACGCCTTAAACTGAGTGGCGTCGGGTGGTGTCTTGTTGTGACCGTACTAAGTGTAGTGGCGGAATTTAGAAGGCACGTGAGGAATGTCGGCTCGTGCGGAACGTAGGAGGATCGTGCTAGGAAAACTCTAGGAAGCGTACGCTTAGCTCCCCACGATCAACCAGGTAGTACTAGAAAATACCGGAATCAGAGCGAGGAGAGGAGCTTCCGTTGAACGTAACGATTACGCGTTCTGATTCGATGTTGCGCCAAGGCACGGAATGACGTCACGGAAGATGGGCTTGAATGTCCTTTGAGAACTCGGAGTCTTGATTATAGATACCCCTCACAACCCGTTCGAGTAATCTCTGATTGGCGGATAGTAATTGACGGGATGCGGCCGGTTGAACTTTGGCAATGGCGAAGGCGCTGATTGACATGCGCAAAAAGACTCACACACTAAGACGCGTGTGCTTTTTTTTATCTCAAAAAAACGTCTGCTGATAGCCATAGAGCTGATAGAAATGCGCAAAGAGACTCACTCACTAAGACGCGTGAAAAAACGCCTGCCACCTAAAGACAGGCAGGCAGCGCGATCAGCATGTGAGCCGCTGATAGGGTGGGTACTACCGCCAGGACGATGGCATGCGATCGCTTTTTGCTGCAAACCAAGGTGCTATGGGTGGAATAAGCTAATCAGAATGCACCTAGACGGAATGCGTGAGTTATCGTACAATAACTATGGATAGCGAGGGTGGTGGGGACAGCCACCATTTTCGATGACTCTGTCTGCCGTACATACAGTGAACAATAGGTGGAGCATAGGAGGATGGAAAATGTCGCGATTCGAGGAGCCGATTCTATCTATGCTCAGATGACGATGACACTGTCTGGAAGGGCAAGGAGGGAGGGAGGATGAGAGAGGGAGAAGGGTGTCTGTGGGAGTCTGGTTTGGCTGTTCTGGCTGGGAGCAGGGCCGTCGCTTGCAGGGCGTTTGCCCTGCTGGACCTTGAATTCCAGGGCTGGATTGCCCTTGAAAACTGAAATTAATGGGCTGGAAATGTTCTAGCCCTGATTCTTTACAGGGCTAATTTTGGGCTCAGGCCTGGTTGAAGGGTAGATATTAGGCAAGCCCTGGAACAAAATCTTTCTAGACCCCCCTCCCCCTCCCCTCCCCCCCCCCAACCCTCCTCCCTCTCCTCTCCCCTTCTCCCCTTTGTTTCTAACCTGATTGCATCCAACAAGGCAAATTTCGAGTTGCTTGGTTGGGCCACAAATTCAACTCAACCTAGAACTTGTGCTAGGGTTGACGGTTAAGGTTGTGTAGAAGTGCACAAGAACTACCCTGAAGGTTGGGTAGTGGAAGTGCACACGATCATCGGTTCTGCAATGGCTAGGAAGCCTGCAAAGCGTGCGTAGTGATATGACGCTAACTATTTCTCTTTATGTCCTGTTTGCTTGCTTGTGGTTCATCTCAAACGTAGTTGTAAGCTTGGTAGTTGAAATGAGGCTCTCGATTTTTTCGCGCCAAACCTGATTGAAGGGAGGAAACTTTCCTGCCCTGAAGCCTCAGGGGTCGAGATTCGCCCCAACCCTGCTAAATACAGGGTCATACATGCCGGGCCCCCTGATTTGTCTGGGGGGGCCAAAACGAAACGACAGGCCTGGCTGGGAGAGCTGGATGGATTGGAAAACGACATTCAAGATTTGGGCCCACCAGATACATGCTAGACGACAGAAGCTCCTTCCACAGCTTCGATCCGTAAGACGACATCTTCTGCCCCCCCGCATCGTTCATCGGCAGGCCCATGCATCAGATGGACGGTTGGGATGATTGAATGTCAGCAGCCGCTGCGCACTGCCCATTTGCCATTGCCCACTGCCTATTTCCTCGTTACCCAAAACACAAGCTGTTTCGTGGAGGCAACACCCGACGAACCCCTTTTCAACGGCTTATGGCTAATGCTCGTGCGAAATCCCCACCACACCAAGCTAGAGTTCCTTGCTCGGTGGTGTCTGTGCAATCTCAAACACGAGATTTTCAAATCATCGCGTGCTGGCGTATTTCCTTTCAAATCTGTCAATAAAGAGAGTACTTTTTCGAAGCTTCTGCGATGAGGTGAAGCAATCCCGAGTTCCGTTCCCACGTCAGGAGTATCGAGATACACGTCAGCGAGGTTCTCCGTAGCTGAGATGGCGAATCATGGCTGGACATTGTGATTGTGGGGAGATTTGCGGCACGAGCAGCGCGTTTGAGAACATCAGCCACATGAATGTTCTGTTTTTCGTGAGATGGTGTAAACAAGTGTTTTAAAACATTTCAGAGGAAATGGCATATATACTGCATGCTTAATCAAGCATAACATTGTCAATCATGCGTGCCTAGAGAGTTTGAAAAAAAACAAAAAGCTGCTATTACATGCTCCAAAATGACAACGATTACTTGCAATTATTTTAGATGTTTCACAGTCCTGCCGCCAATAAATGGGAAACGGTTGAGACATTGGGCCGAGCCCCGTATCACCAACTGAGGCCTATTATTGGGGTGGGGTGTGACTGCGAAATGGTAATGGGCGGGTGAAGGATAGCGACATCTTAATGGGAATCAGCACTTGCGATGCTCATAAACATCGTTGTGCGAATCTTTCCTATAATAAGGGTACATTCCTGCCTTGACACTTGTGTCTCAATGCCTGGTTTCCCGAGTCGCGCCTGTAAATTTGCCTATCTACGCGTCACAAAAAAAATGATGTACAGCGACATCGTGCGACTCAGAGTGTTGTACACCTGTCGACTTGCAATTGGACCCGCACCTTTTGAAGCGAGCGCTCTCATTTTGGCGCCGGGCAGACAGGTTAAACCAAGGGTTCCAAACGATGATGGGGCGAGTTGGCGAAACCACCAACCACCAAAGAGCCACAATGCACCTACAACTACAACTACAAACATAAAAAGGCAAAGCATTCACAGCATGGCCCCCACTCAAATCAGCCATGGCAGAACCCAGGGCTGTTCCCTTCCTCATGCGACTCCTAGTCGCATGGATCTCGTTCTACTACGACATCTTCATGGACGCAGTCGCCAAGGGGGTAGCCGGCTTGCTGGAGTCGCAAGTCTTCGACGACGAGAACACGTCTACCGCGACCTCTCACAGCTCCACCAGGTTCGCCGAGCGTACAAGGAGAGGCAGCTTGAGGCGCCGGCGTTACGCGCTGCTGCTCGAGAACCTGCGGGGAATGGGAGACGGGGAGTTTAGGGACATTTACCGAATTAACAGGGCGATTCTCGCCCACGTGGCCGAGGGCATGAAGCACTACATGCAGCCGTACGTGTACCGTTACTACATTAGCTACGAGGTGGCAAACCTTGTGCCGATCAAGTACCTAGCGAGTGGACCCTCGTACATAGACCTTTCTCACCTATTCGGGTTGTCGAAGACATCGTGCCACGAGCTCAACGATGTGTGGCTAATGCATTTCGCCACGGTCTTCAAACAACAGTGGGGGCACTTCCCCACCCGCGATGACCTTAACGAAATGGCCGAGGAGTTTCGGGGTACCTGCGGGGTACCTGCGGCAGTGGGGAGAGGCGGTGCACACGATCAACGCGTGTTCATGGACAGTGCGTTACATGAGAGGTTGCAAAACGGCGACATTGCGCCGTATCAAATAGTCGGTGATGCAGCCTACCCCCTGTGGGATTTCTGCCTAACCCCCCTGCATGCACCCCGCGAAGGCCTAATGGAGGATTGGGAGCAGTGCTTCAACTACTGCCAGAGCGCGACGCGCATGGCAGTGGAGCGCTGCATCGGCGCCTTCAAAGGCAGGTGGAGGCTCTTCGCAGGCCGCGATTACTGCACGCTGTGGCGCGTCCTTGCAGGGGCGATGCACAACATGTGTGAGACGATGGGGGACGTGAGGCGTGTCAATGAGGGATGGGCAAACTTGCCACGGAACCGGGATCCTTGGTGGACCCGCGGCGCAGCAGCAGTATTCAAGTGGGAGCCGGCCGTGCCGTGCAACCAGGCGACTCTCCGTGAAAGGCGGAAGAGGCTCGGTGAAGCGTTGGAGTCTTCCTACCTTACACGGCGTCGCCGCGAACCCACATTTCCTCGGCCTCGTCCGGAGTAGCTTCCCCACCGCCGTGATCACCGCGGCGGAACCAGACTCCGTCGTCGCCTTCGGCGGCGGCCGCTGCGGGCTGTGTAGCGGCATCCGCGGGGGCTCTGTTGACGGTTGGTGGCGGAGGGGCCGGCAACTGGTTGCGGGCGCGTGCAATCTCGGCGTCCTGCTGCATCCAAGCGCGGACGAGCCCCTCCAGCTTTACCATCGCATCCGCGTGGCAATCCTTGATGGTGTCGGAGACAAGTTTTGCCGCGGCCATGGTAGCCGTCTCCGCTACGCGCGGGCGCTTGGAGGGAGGCGTCACCGGAGTGGGGGCTGCACGTTCACATATTACAGTAGGCCCAAATGAGTTTGCTGTGATGTTGTGCCGTATGACACCAAGGTTAAATGACAATCATGTTGCACATCTATGCGTACAAACAAACAAAGCAAACACGCCCAAAGCAACGGAAAATAGCTCACCCATGAACGTGGGCGTTGAGGTGCATGGCGCGGACGTCGACGGCACCGCGAAACCGCACGGCGCATTCACGTGTGTGGCACCACCGGCGGCGACGGCGTGCGGTGCCGCGACTGCACGGTTATTCTGAAATAACACCATGTACGGCCACCATGGCGGCTTACACACCACCCCGTTGCCGGACGCCTTGTCCGCCTTCTGCAGCTGCTTGTACATTTGGACGAGGTTGCGCCATTGTTTCTGCACGGCGTTGACGCCGCGGACCCATCCGGTATTCTCGGTCTCACGAGGCGAGCCCAATACTGGGATCCCTGCTTCCCCAGAAGCGGCTCCAGCTCATCCTTCATGAACCAGCGGGCGGCCACGAGAATCGTTTTCTCCGTGGGCGACCACACACTGCGCTTCACCGGCATGGGCTCTTGGGTCTTTGGCGCGCGTCGAGGTGGCTCCCCGCCAACAGTGGCGCTCTTGTCTCCCGGTGCCGCCTTACCATGACCGCGGCGAACAGGCGGAGTTGCGGGCTGCGATTCTTCCAGTGCGTCGTCGTCGTCGCTCTCCGCGTCGGAGTCGGACATGCCCTTGTCAGGCTCTTCTCCAGAGTCCGCATCGTCGTCCGTCCCGTATGCCTCCTCGTTGTAGTCTGCATCGTCCTCGTCCTCGTCGTTCGTGGTAGCCTCGGGACTGCGCGAAGAAGCCACATGGTCGGCGTTACGGCGCCCGCGCGTCGGGACGTCACGGGGGGCCTGGTAAGAGGTGTCGCCACGTGAAGGAGTGTCCACTAGCTACGGGCCGGTCGGCTTGCGCCCAGAGGACAGCTGCTTGTGCATCCAAGCAATATACGGGATATCATTGAGATCCCGGGGGGTCACGTTGGCGGCTTCAGCGGCGCTCTTGCGCTTACGAGCCATGGCGTTGAGAGGGCTACTGAGCTTGCGGGTCCCAGAAACAAGAAACACATAATGGACTACCAAGAAGATGGAATTCAAGTCATCCTTGAAGCAGGTTGGAGAGGAGGCTCTAGATCTGTGGTGGTTTCGTCGGGCAGCCTTGCGTGTATCACAAAAAATGGTAACCCCTTTCGATGCTGCCCAGGGATGGCGGGTTTGTTTCCCGCGCTAAACTATCAAGGGGTCCAGCGTCCAGGTGCATGCGACAGGGCAGTGGAATTGCTTGACATTGATCGTGCGTGCGATTTCACGGCGGTGACGGGGCCTCGTCCAACTCGTCCGCGACATCGGCGCAAATGACGCTGACCAATGTAAAATAGGGTTACATTCGCATTAGGGCGACACACGTTTGTGACATAGCACGTTCTATGCTGTTTTTGAGCGTCACAATACATTTGAGACACAAGTATCAAGGCACGAATGTACCCTAATACGTCATCGCTTGTCCACTCACTTTGGTGGACATGATAAAGGTGCCAAAGAGTAGGACAGCGGAAGTCTTATGATGACATTGACATAGTGAAATGTAAATAACAAGTTAACGATCACAAGCCACTACATTAATTTATATGGTCATAGCTAGCCATATACTCGGAGGGGTACACTCCTATATTTAAGCTTTCGAAACCGTATTGCGGGTATTGATATGTCGAAATATTTTGTCATGTTTTATAATTGCTTGTAGTTGTAGTTAGTGTAGTTATGTAAACTTTTGTTGGTGGTGCACCTTATTTTGTTTCTATGCTATATGTACCCCTGAACCTATAGTGAAACCACCTTTTCACCAATTTCCCTCTCAACTCTCTCGACATTGCTCCTAGGGGAAAACCCGCTCGATACCTAAGTTAGGGCCTAGGCTACTAAGCCTAGGCCCCCGTTTCTACTCTTAAATTACTTAGACTCTCGACATGGTATCAGAGCTAGGTTCGTCCTGGCCTGTGGGCCCACTTTACACTTCCGCTGCTAAGGTTTTCCGGTCGCGCGCCTAGGGCGCGTGACGACTTTATTTTTACATTGTCCCGCCCACGGGCGTGTGACTCCTTCCCTGCCCGTCGCGCGCCCCGTGGCACGCGACGGTGCCCTTCTACTGCCCATCGTGCGCCCCGTGGCACACGATGGTGCCCTGCTCGTCGTGTGCCCCGAGGCACACGATCGGGCCCTTTTATGCTACCCGTCGTGCGCGCGGGCACTGGCCCGCGACGGGCCTTTCCGCCCCTGCACTCCCTGCTGCCGCCCCTGACCCATCTGCACCGACGCCTCTTCGCCGCTCTGCGGCTTTCTTCCTTCCCACCCCCCCCTTTCTCTTGTCTCCTTGCAGCCGTGGGGAGGAGGGTATGGGGGTGGAGGGTGTTGGAGCGTGGGGTCAACTCTCTCCCTTTCCCTCCTCCTTCTTTCAGTCCCACCGCTGCAGCTGCCGCTGGGGGAGGAGGGTGTGAGGATGTGGGTGAGGAGGGGGAGTGGTACCGGGGTGGCGGGTGTGAGGCAACAAGCAGCCGTCCCTCCACCTCTCCTCTCTTCCCCCTTTCTCTGCTGCTTCTGCAGCAGTGTGGGGGAGGGGAAGGAGGAGGGTGAGGAGATGGTAGGGGTACCTGCTGTTGCTGTAACTACATACCTACCTACAAGCATTATGGGGGCGTGTCGAAATATTTTGTCATGTTTTATAATTGCTTGTAGTTGTAGTTAGTGTAGTTATGTAAACTTTTGTTGGTGGTGCACCTTATTTTGTTTCTATGCTATATGTACCCCTGAACCTATAGTGAAACCACCTTTTCACCAATTTCCCTCTCAACTCACTCGACATTGCTCCTAGGGGAAAACCCGCTCGATACCTAAGTTAGGGCCTAGGCTACTAAGCCTAGGCCCCCGTTTCTACTCTTAAATTACTTAGACTCTCGACATGATACAGTGGCGTGACTGTTTTGATGCATGTGGTTAGCTAGTTGCAGTGCATAACCTCCATTCTTGTTCAACAAATAACTAGTATTGTTTATGTTGTTGTAGATGTTGGGCAAGTTGTCTAGTGACGTAGGAGAGGTCTGAGCAAGACGTGATGACGGCAGACGGCCAAGTTCCTGCTTGTAGAGCTGATAATCCGTCGCTAAGAGTGGAAAAGTATCGATATGAGAAAAGTAGAACGAGAATGAATGACCAAGGAATGGAAGTGATACAAATATGCAACCCTAGAAATGTGTACCCCATGTGGGCTACCCCACTATAGCCTACACAATATTATAATTTGACACACCCCCATAGGAAAAGTGGGGAAGAACAAGGGGTCAAAAGACCAGTCCAGCAAAGCACACAAAGCTCAGGGTGGATCACAACGTCACCACACAGTCCGAGCACAAGGTCAAGGCCACAAGGCCAGTTCACATGCAGGAGTACACACATATATATATAAATATAAGGCTAAACAAGCAAGAGCAGGTATATATATATATATGTAAGAGTACAAGCAAGGTCAAGGGGTGAGCAAGTGAGGCAAGACAGGCACAAGACCCAGCTGAGTGCAGAAGCGCTGATGATCACAAGGCGGAAGTGCCTTGGTGAAAACATCAGTAGTGTTGGCCTCAGAGGCCACGTACGCAAGTCGCAACTGACCACGCTGCTGCAACTCCAGGCAAGAAAGTAGCGGAGAGCAATGTGCTTCGTTCTATGCTCCAGGCGCTGCTCCCGACACAAGGCTAGCATGGCCTTGTTGTCTACGTACAGCACCGGAGGAGAACGAGGCGGCTCTCCGAGGTCAGTCAGCAGGTAGGTAAGCCAGCGAAGCTCCTGTGCAGCCATGGCCCTGGCGTAGATCTCAGCCTCACAACTGGAGCCAAGAACAGAAGACGAGCGAGTAGCCCGCCACGAAACAGAGCCGGAACCAAGGCTGAAGGTGTAACCTTGTGACGACCGCTGCGTAGCCTGGTCGTCTGCCCAAGAAGCGTCCGCGTGCCCAGTGAGGACCACTGGACTCCGCCCTCCAAGCACTAGCCCCATGCCCGACGTACTGCACAAGTAGCGCAACACCCTCTTCGCTGCAGCCATGTGCTCTGGTCTGTGTCTCCCAGGAGCAACATAGCGTGCAAGAATGCTAAGAGGGTATGCAAGGTCAGGTCGTGTGCAGGTCATCAAGTACATGAGGCAGCCAACAAGCTCTGGGTACGGGCCACTCGACTCTACGGACTCATCCGAAGGCAGAGCTGAGAGCGAGTGGCGAGTAGACAGAGGAGTGGCCTGAGGCGAGGAGTACGTGAAGCCGAAGCGCTGAAGGACCTGCTGCACCATGTGTGACTGAGTCAGGGTAATGGTGCGGCGTGCTCTGTCCCGGGTGATCTGCAAGCCAAGGTAGCTGCGCAGTTCACCCAGGTCTGTGCATGTGTGTCTCTTCTACAGCTTGGACTTCACGTGGGTGAGTCCAGCAGTGTCAGCTGTGGCAAAGACCAAGTCGTCGACGTACACGAGGATGTAGAGCGGCGGCAGAGAGGTGTTGGTGCGCAGAAACAGCGACGGGTCAGCAGTAGAGGGAGCAAACCCAAGTGCCGCAAGTGTAGTCCTCAGTGTGTCGTGCCACTCGCGCGGTGCCTGGCGTGTCAGAATATTATCTTATTGTTCTAGCCTGTAGTGGGGTGCTCTATAGCGAGTACAACCCTTCTAGGGTTTGCTATTTGTATCCTCATTCTTGCTAGTTCAATCCTCTTTTCTTCTTCTAACTTTTGACATGCTATCAGAGCAGGTCGATCCCCTTGGATCGATCCTGTGGGTGTGTCCCCACCTTGCTTCCGCTGCTAATTTTTCCTCCCGCCGTGCGCCCCGAGGCGCGCGGCGGTTTTCTGCCCGCCGTGCGCCCCGAGGCGCGCGGCGGTTCATTGCCCGCTGTGCGCCCCGAGGCGCGCGGCGGGCTTCTCCCCTACGTCGCGGCCCTGCCCCGATTGTCGCGGCCCCGCCCCTTGACGCGGCCCCGCTCTACGTCGCGGCCCTGCCCCGGCCCGTCGCCGCCCGTGCGCCTGCCCGGCTCGGCCCCGCTCTACGTCGCGGCCCCGCCCCGGCCCGTCGCCGCCCGTGCGCCTGCCCGGCTCGGCCCCGCCCTACCTTCGCGGCCCCGCCCAACGTTGCGGCCCCGCCCTATGTCGCGGCCCCGCCCTACGTCGCGGCCTCGCCCTATGTCGCGGCCCCGCCCCGACCGTCGCGGCCCCGCCCCTCGTCGCGGCCCCGGCCCCGTCCCCCCCCCCCCCCCCCCCCCCCCCTTTTTCTCCCCTCCCCCCCAATTCCCGTCGTCCGTCGTGGCGACCTGAGGGGGCCGCTTGCGGCCCCCTCAGGTCGCCACGACGGACGACGGGAGGGGCGAGCTGTGGGGTGGCGGGTATGGGGGTGGTCGGTGTGCCTTCCTCCCTTTCTCCTCCTCCTCCTTCGTCTCCCACTGCTGCAGCTGTCGCTGAGGGGGGTGGTTGTGTGGGAGACTGGGTTTAGGGTTTAAGGGGGGTGCGTGGGAGTAGAGCTAGTGGTGTAGCAGTGGGTGTGTATCAGGGGGGTGGGACTGTGTGTGGGAGGATGAGCGGAGGTTGCCAGTTTGTCGTCAGCAGCACCTGTAGTCCGGGGCGCTGTCCCGGTAGCCCAGTCGTAGCCAGCTGTGCCAGCCGCCCGTGGGTCCGTTGCCCGTCCGCCGCTATTTGAGCCGCGGGGCCTGTTACTCCTGTAGTCCGGGCGCTGTCCGGTAGCCGCTGTGCCAGTCTGCCTCCTGTTGCCCGTGTGTCTGCAACTTCAGCCGTCGCCTCCTGTCTCCTCTCCCCTCACTCTCCCTCCTCCTCCTCACTTGCCCGTTGTGACTACCACTAGCTTTGCTTATAATTGTACACTCTAAACTATTTCTTCTTGAACTTGTGCTCAGAATGTGTGGTGACATTGTGATCCACCCTGAGCTTGTTTTTGCTTTGCCTGCTCTGCTGATTACACCCCACTTTGGCTATGGGGGTGTGTCAGAATATTATCTTATTGTTCTAGCCTGTAGTGGGGTGCTCTATAGCGAGTACAACCCTTCTAGGGTTTGCTATTTGTATCCTCATTCTTGCTAGTTCAATCCTCTTTTCTTCTTCTAACTTTTGACATGGCGGAGACCGTAGACTGGCCGTCGGAGGCTCCACTGGGTGCCAGGAGGGAAAGTCCCAGTGAAGCCAGGTGGACGGCGCAACCAGATCTCCTCGTGCAGGCTACCCTGCAGGAAAGCTGTGCTGAAGTCAAGAGAGTGAAGCTCGTAGTCGCGCTGAGCGGCTACGTGTAGCAGCACCCGAAGAGTGGTCATCTTT